GCACAGACAGTTGCCGTAGACGCCCGCAGTCCTGCACGCTTTATATTGTACACATGATCGTTGAATTTGAAATCTCTTGCTCACACACGGGCAGAGGATATCCAGATGAAGTTTCTACTTCCTATCCTACTCGACACCCGAAATTCCAAAACATACGTTTCCCTTTAGGTGTCCGTACTTGAGACTGAGCGTACGGAACGTTTACTTTAAGTTGCTTAAAGTGAGCTTGGGCTAGGGAGAGCCTTATGAAATTTCGTTTTCTCAGCTTCTGAAAACGAAGATGGGTAACAAAAATCCGAACTCACACACACAGACAAACAGACATGCACACATATACACACACAGACACAGACACACATACACACACGCACACACCGAAAACCGCCCGTCAATATGTGCTTTTGCACTGCATAAATGTGCAAAAATGCGTAAGAAGCTGCAAAGCTAACTTTCACACCGCGTCTGGAAGCATGATCTAAGGATCAAATTCAGATACAGGGAATTTTTATTGGGCACAATCCCAGAAATCCAAAGGGATGTTGGAAAAGTCGTTGTTATAGATTTCAAGTGCAATGGGGTGGGGGAGGGTGCGGGAAATTGCAGTTTTAAGAAGATAAAAGAGTAAAGGACGTTCGTTATTTGGGTGAAATTTGAAAGGGAGGAAGGTGGCTTTGTTTTAGGTCGAAATTTTCCACAGCTCTTACTTTGATCTCAACCGGTTGCCACATTTCATTGTATTGAGCGATGTATGTTGGTTAAATCGTAAGGTTTGCTAGTAAAATTGTATCGTAATAAAATCTGCCGGGTTAATTCAGTACTGATGAAGAAGCTCAAGTACGGGTTCCGATCTCGCCAACGGCGAAAAGCTGTTTGCATATGTTTCAGGCTTTAGCAGACAAGTCGCCAGCTGCTGTAAGTAAATGGAAATTTTATGAGCCAGTTGCACAGATTAAAACAAGATTTGAGTGTCATTATCACATGGCAACGATTCGTCATTCTTTCGACAGGTGTAGGAATAAAGTTGCATGCAGCCGCAGCGACTCATTGCGAGCTCGTACAGAAAGTGAATGGAGGACTATTCGATAATGAAAACACGAGGCGCTCACCACTTGCCCAATGCCATCCCGAAGAGTACTTCTTAAGCACTACTTTGGAAAATCATGGTGTGATATACGCAATGATACTAAGGAAATTGTTCAATGTGGCTTGCTCGGTGTTATCTTCGTCCCCGACGATCGTTTACATTTGTTACCCGTTGTCTTCACATCTAATGTTCTTATTTATATCAGTGTGTGCCTATCAAATTCTACAAAAAATGGCACTTTGTCCGCGAGTCCTAACGGCTTTGTTTCCTGTACGAAATGAAACTTTCTTTTGGTTCTGCCGCTGTTCTATTCGAAATTAAACAAGCTGAAGATAAAAAGCAGGAAGGGAGTGAAAAATGAAGGATTTAAAATTTGATCTGTAGCATTTCGAACAGTAATGGTTATCCGTTAGTAATTCCGGATGCATCTGAAGGCAATGATATAGAACAGACAATAACGAAACAGATCCTATGGATTATGCTACTGAAAAATAAATTCCGAGAAACACTTCAGCAAATCTCAGAACAAAACTGGAACGGGAAAGTTCTAAATACCGACTACATTCCTAGGCAGCTTTTGCAAACAGATTTCATTATGATTTCAGTGATAACCATAATAACAATAATAAAATCCGATATGAAAAGAGATGTAGTATTTGGAATGATCCGCACAAGTAAAACGTTACTTCATTGACTTTATAAGTTCTCGAGGACAACTTTAGCTAGTGGAGGCCCAAAACCTCCAGTTTAAAACGTCGTAAACTGAACTGTTGCAAAATTCGACACCGACAATAACAGTAACAGCAGTAATAAAAGTAATAATAAATACCAAGAATACCAAGATCGCTCTGGCTGTCAGCATGGAAATTCATGTTAGTGATGTTATTGAGGTGTTCTCACATATTGGGCATAGTTATGCCAGTCCCCTTCTGTTCTGAGCTGCGTATCTCCAATTGGTGCCTACCGCCT